CTATGTATTTATATCAGAGTTTACAAAATAGTATCGTGGACATTATCTCATTCAATTCTTACAAAAATCCTGTGAGATGAAGGCAGGGAATAGGTATTATTCCCATTTTACATGAAGTGTTATTTTTGGAATGTTTTATAGACTATAAATAGGGTCACCATACATTATGCTTTTGTCTGGGACAACCCCAAGTTATGTTGTTCTCGTGTAATTATTAGCATCAACTTTCTCTCAGTATTATGTTTGGATGACAGATACTATGATCCCTAACAATCTATAAATCACTTTTCACTTGTATTAGGCTTTCAAAATTCATGTAGTCTGTGCAAGGCAATATGATAACTCATGACAATAAGAGACAATCAGAGCTACAACCTGGTTAAGGGCCTGGGCTGCAAGCCCAAGACACAATTCTACTAGTTGTACATCCTTAGGCCAATTACTGTCACCGAGTAAGTGCCATGTAATCATTTCTTGTGTTTGCTGCTTGATCACATGGCTTTTTCTCATTGGCGGCATCTTCTTGTTCAGATAGAAGTCTCTCTGAACAAATGCCCAGATGCCCAAAGAAACATCCCTTGTCCTTTTTTATGAGGAGTCCAGCCCTTTTCACTCCTTCCTGAATGACTTCTGCCGTCCTCCTCATAAACCAGCAGTGACCTCAGCTTCTGTGGTTGGTTGACACACTTTTGTCCCTGTGCTGACCTTAGAGTCATAGGGTCTGACAGCCTGGCTACTATTCACAAACATCTGGACTCTTGGCAAGGCAAGGTTCCAGCCTAAGTTTCAGATTGATATTGGTACCAAACATGGACGCGTTTACTTCCAAACTGGACACTTCAAGGAAATAAGTTCCAAAATTCCAAGGTGTTTCAGATGACCAGAGTGCCCTGAAGAGAGTTGGCCATGGTCTCACTCACATGCATACACATTACATAGCACCACCAGGGAGTCTTGAAGGTGCAATTTGAAGATTCTTCAGGAGCCTGGAACTTTAAATTACTCCAAACCTCAGGGGGTATGCATAGCAAGAAGAATAAATATTACTTTAGAAAAAGGTTTCTAACATTAGAACTAGATGAGGTCTGCTCTTGGCTTTGCTCTTTACCAGTGTGGGACATTGAGGAAGTCTAATTTTTCTAAACTCCAATTTTCTCAACCTGTAGGATGGAACTGTTAATATTTATGTTTGCCTCTTAGGATAGATGTGATAAATGAGTGAAATAATGAATGTAATATTTAGCATAATCCAAGAACAAAGGTGTTTATTGAATTTTTGTGTAATGTATTGTAGGGATTATGGGGATTGTTTTATTCTACTTTCTGATTCTACTGTTATATCTGAAAGATTAAGGAATACTTGACCAAATGGTTTTTTTATATATATATATATTTTATTGATTTTTTACAGAGAGGAAGAGAGAGAGATAGTTAGAAACATCTATGAGAGAGAAACATCGACCAGCTGCCTCCTGCACATCTCCTACTGGGGATGTGCCCGCAACCCAGGTACATGCCCTTGACCGGAATCGAACCCCGGACCTTTCAGTCCACAGGCCGACGCTCTATCCACTGAGCCAAACCGGTTTCGGCTAAATGGTTTTAATTAATCTTCTGGATTGGCCTGTGCTGTGGGACTAACTCAGCCGTGGGCAAACTACGACCCGCGGGCTGGATCCGGCCCGTTTGAAATGAATAAAACTAAAAAAAAAAGACCGTACCCTTTTATGTAATGATGTTTACTTTGAATTTATATTAGTTCACACACTCTCCGGTCCAGTTTAAGAACTCATTGTGGCCCTCGAGTCAAAAAGTTTGCCCACCCCTGGACTAACTCCTTCTACCATGAGGTAGTGACTCAAATTCTAGATGTCACTTGCAGAGAGAACTTTTAAGTCCTCTGCTGAAGTGCATGCCATTCTCCATCTTTAGGTCCCTTGTTGCCTGGTTTTAAGCTGTGGTGTCCCTTGGGCCACACGAAGACTTTAGAGATGGGAATAGGAGATAGGAAGGAGCAACTCAGGTTAAGGCAAGACAGACTGTGCTTCACACAATTTATTCAATGCCCTTTAAGTTGACAAACTTCTCACCCAGGGAACGCTCTGGGAGTCTGGTTGGACCACATAATAGAGCCAGTGTGGGATGACCAGGCAGGAGAAGGTGAAAATAAACAAGAGGATGTGTGTCTTAGAGGAAGAAATATATTCTTGACAGATTAGGTAGGAGGCATGAGGTACACAGAAAGCCACAAATTACCAGTGAGGGAACAGTGAGCAATGAACTACTGCATAAGGTAATGGCACTCTGATAAAGACATTTCCAATGTAGAAGCATGCTTTGCTTCACATAGAATATTCCACTGTTAGACTTTCCTTTGTTGCTCCCCCTGTGAAACCGAGCAAGTTTCCTTCAGATGCATCTCATGAGAAGGGGGCTTTGATTGGCGTGGCTGTATTCAGGCGGCTCCTCCTTCAATGGTAACTGAGGCTGGAAATACTTCAAGAGATCATTTGCTTTCCTCTAACAGAAAGGGTGGCTGCAAAATCAGAAAAGATAAATATTTTACTTCTACCTCTTTTTGAACTATTACCAACCAACCTTGACAATTTGATGAACTGTAATTAACACATACATGGATTAAAGTTTTATTTTATTGTGTATCTTTCATAGTCTCTCCATGTCAAATGCAATTCCCACCCTTTCTTTGCCATACTCAGTGAGAAATAATCATCAGTTCTGGATGACTATGGGGGGATTAGAGGCTGATTCTGTGAAGAAATGGACTCAGTTAGATTAAATGCACTAGGAAAAATGGACAACCTAAGGAACAGCTCAGAGAAACATCTTACAGACATTACTATCTTTTTAGTTTCACAGTATATTTAATTTCCTTTAATAATATCCTTTAACTACAAATTATATACCTTTTTTTGGGGGGGGGGGGGGG